TTATTATTTGTTGTAAGTGATGGTGTTCCATCGGTAGGTGTTTGGGTTAGAGTGTAATTTTTTTATAAATTTTTGGGGGATCAAATTTATTATTTTTATAAATAAAAAAATAGAATATAAATATTTGGGTTGTAAAATAAAATAAAAAATATGATTATACAAAATTTGTTATTTCTCAAGTAATAAATTATTATTGATTAAAAAATTATCTAGAGTTTTTTCATATTCTTGCTTATGAGTTAACCAATGTCTAACATGTTCACTATCTTCAAATCTTAAAGTCGTAGTCTTGAATCCCGATCTTTTACTTTTTTCAATTATATCTTCTATTTTCTTGTAAGGAATCAATTTATCAGCTTTGGAATAAATAAAAAGTCTTGGGCATGCTGTACCTATTCTTGCTATTGTGTCCTTATTCCTTCCTCCCTCGGCTTTTATTTTATTATTGTTGTTGTTGTTGTTGATAAGTGAATCAGCAATATAATTAATAAACAATTTCTTTTTTTTGATAAAACTTAAAATTAACAAAATTGGATAACCAAAGAAAAGTAAAATTTCCACAATTATGAAAATTAAAATTTTCTTTAATAAATTAGTTTCAGCAACAGTATAAACTTTGTAAAGCCCAAATACTCCAGTAGTTCCAGGTCCAGAATCAAGTATTACTGCGTCATAACTCAAATTGAAATTGTGTTTTTTACAAGCATTTATTAATGCAACCATTCCCATTGTTCCACCATTTGAAAATGCGTGTGCAATAACTAAAGGTTTCTTCTCATTCGAAGCCAAAGAAGATGATAAAACACCAAATTCTTGTAGAAATGGAATAAAACTTTCAGTTAAATTTTCAGCTGATAAAGGATAATAAAAATAAGGAAAAACAGGTGCAACGTAATAAAGAATGTGAAATTTTTTTTCTCCTTTTTCATCTTTATAATTTCTCCAATATGAAGCACATTTTGATACATTTTTTATTGAACTATTTGACCATCCAAACATTATAACAACCGATGATGGTGATGGTGGTGATGATTCATTATTACTATCGTCGTCGTCGTTGTTGTTGTTGTTAGATCTTCTTTCAATATAAAGTGGAAAATTTTTTTTCGGTTTAATTTTTTCAATAATTATTTGACTATTATTATTATCCTGAGGATTCATTTTACCGCCGTACAACCCATAAAATTTAATTTTTTGGCTATTTTATTTATTATTATTCAAAAAATCTATTATAAAATTTAGATGACCTTTCTAATTTAAGTAATCAGATTTATTAGTATTAGAGATTTTCTTTATCACGGGAAAATTGTAAAGCCGTCATTCCGAGATTTTACAATTTACATATAGGCATATATGAAATATTCCAACTTTGAAGCTTTATAATTCAAAACTTTTCTAATAAAAAGGAAACAAGTAAACCGATGGAAATGAAGCTTAGGTTTTTAGCTTTATTTTTCTTTTTAAACAAGGAGCCATAAGCTTTTAAGTCATGTGATATTCATTGACCGTTATAGATGTCCTGCACTCACTATATTACTATGAAACATTCATTTTACATCTAAAAAAAATTTGTCGCGCAAAAAACGAAAATTTTTTGGTCGAATAAAAAAAAAAATTGAAATATCGTGTGATCCACATATTGGGATTTTTGAATTACATGACCAAATTTGGTAGTGACTATTTTTATTTCCATTTAGGAAATCCTATCTTTGGCTCGCGACTTCAGAAGAAACAAGTTGAGTAGGTGACAGTATAGTGCAAAGTAGATAACAATATATATATATATTGTTACTTATGATAGACTGTTACCTACTTGTCGTACGATTGGTTCGTATTTTTGTCATACTTTTAGGCTTGAAGAATTCGTGATTGTTTTTTCATTCGAGGCCGACTGATGGCCCATTCTGGGTTCATGGAAGAATTCACATTTGCGTTGTGCTTTAGGTACGACAAGTTTGAATTTGCATCGTACTTTTAATGATCGTTATTGACGTCCATAACGATGGACTTTGGTGACACTATTGACTTCGATACTAGGATGAGGCACGAAGTGCCGAATTGTTATCTTCACTTGGTGATACGCAAAAGCACAATTTTTTCTTACTTCTTCCTTATATTATTCTACCTTTGAGTATCACCGAAAGTGTACTATGTTTTGGAGCCCTGGAGCCTTTCTCGTATAGTTGATGCTTTTGAGTATCATTTTTTCATGTTAAAAAATTGATTATACTATTGCGTATCACTTTTACATATTACTTCGGATCATACTTTTATGTAATAATTTTTGATTTGAATTTTTTTTGTACATTTATTGTAAGAGACGACAAAAAAATTCCCTCTTACCTAAGATGAATGGTTAGTTGAATGTAGTATATGTCTCGCAAATCTAGAAATAACAGACGCAAAACTCAAGGTAGATTTACTACAAATCCTATGCAATATTTACAGAAGGTCATATAACTGTCATAAATAAGAAGACATAAGATGTAAAGGAGGCATTTGATTATGAGAAGGTATGTAGGTATTTAGAGGTAAATAACCTCAATTCAAATATTCTCAGCATGTAGTGGATGTGTAATCCAGAAAAATTGATGATCATTAATGTGAAAGTAAATGCAATTATTATTATATATGCGAATCGACTTTCTAGGTACATATAACAATTAGTTTTCTTCAAAATGCATGGAGTTTCTTTTCCGCGTCTAACGCATATTAAAATGGCACAAAAAATATATTGACTAATTTATTAATAAACAGATATATATATATATGACAACTTGATAACAACTGTCTATTTTCTAGGCAGAATTGACAATTGAACTACTTTCTACTTTTTGACCCGATTTATTAGATGGAGGCGCATTATATAACAAACTAATATTAACTAGCAGAATATTCCGTAAAATTAATAAAAACTCCACGAACCTTGCTACCATAATTGGGTCGAATATTGGACTGGTATTTCTGCTTCATGGAGATGGTAATAGAGACGCACATCAAGTGAATCCCAAATAAGAACATTTAAATATATTTTTCTTCCCGCTATTTGTACCCAATTATTCCAAATTCATTCTTGATAGGTTTACAACTTTTGCGGACCAAAACATGCCATAATTTGCCTCTCTCCATAGTTTTACCCATCATCTCTTTCTTTTTGCGCTATACACAATAAACGTGAGCATTCAGTGTGGACCAATTCATAGTATTTATCCCTATGTCTCATTACAAACATAACATCAGGTCACTTTCCTGATCGACCATTCCCTCTCCTAACTGCACCGGCACTACTCTGTTGTTCAAAATTGCTAAGAAATGAAGATGTCCATAAATAGAGACCTTTTAACGAGGCACAAACTGCAGGCAAGATTAAATTAGTAACATAAGCACCTTTATTTAATTTTTCTACAAAATTGGACCTAAATGCAGGGTTTCTCCAAGCATCGTACCTAATGATAAGATTATTTAATGAATATATTCTTTTAACAGAACCCCCAAAAACTCTATAATTTTAAATATCCAGATTGGAATACTCACAATGCATCTAGAATCCTTTCAGCAACATTAGCAAGTTCTTCATTGGTTTCCTTTCACATCCCATCATGTAAAAGATTTTGTGGTAATTTGAATCCAATATCATCGGTAAAATTCATTACAACTCCTATGCACTATTGATAAAAGGAAGGGCGCCATACGTTGAAGTGGTTCCTAATAAATTAACGTTTTGTAATGCTTTTTGTGAAATAATATGGAGATTCGATCTGGTGCTGATCCCACCTTCCCGGGAAAATCAGACCTTACGAGTTTATAATACCAACCATAAATATATTTTGCAATTCATCTGGCAAGAGACGTATAATATCTGAATCATCACTAGTAATTTGATTTTCCAGAGGGTCATTCCAAGGAAGTTCCGAAACTGCGACCTCCCTAATTCTCCTATACAATTCCAAAGACAACGCCGATGTGTCTTTTTTCAATTTTCTTTTCAACTTAGTTATATTTTCCGAGATTTGAATTAAGGATTTCCTCATCTAATGTTACTACTCTGACATTTTTCAAACTACGAACGATTTTGTAAGAGACTTTAAATTAGTGCGGATATAAATTGTTAGTTTGGAATTCCAAATTAATGTTGAAAATATTTTAAAGGGCGCATGCGCTGTCAGATTATAACCAAAGCTCTCTCTTTGTGAGGTTAGCTACTCCATCACGCAGATGGAACTTTATGTGATACTAAATTATCAACATAAAACCAAACATAGGCTTTCAACTTAAACATCCCTCCCGCGGTGAGGAAATTCCTGGCGTGGGACTAAATGGAATGCTTAAGCTGACATGTTTGTTTTTTCGGAGGTATCACTTCCGCGCTATTCATCATTCAAAAATATTAATACAGATATATTTTTAATGACTTACTTCTGAGAGAATTTCAAGGAGAGTCACATAACGTGAAGAATATCTGTTATAATTATTATTAGCGGATTCTACAGCTTATTCTATAAGACTTCTTAATTCGCCTTCGGTCATCCATGGATTCTCTTTCATTGCTTAATAAATAACAGAACCCGCTGTTATATTCTCCTTCTTCAGCAGTTGTTAGGAAATTATAGATTTTAGTAAATAAAACAGTAGGCATGTTTAAGTTAAATTCAAATATAACTCTTGAACTAATTGAATTAATGATAATAAAAATCAAAAGGCGATTAATGCCCATAAACTCGATATACTTCCCTTTTAAACGTTTTCCTTCCCATATATTCCTCTAATATCGAATGAATAATGTAGAGATAAAGAATGTATTTACGTCATAATTAATCGAATTTGGTTAATCGCACAAATAAATCATATGCATTGAAATTTTGAATGCTTTTTGTTGCACAACCCATTAAAATGTCATACGATATAATTGATTATCTGATTGATTATTGGATAGATATAAAAGAATCATGTGCGCGTTACAAGATACAAATATTAATTGATTTGTAAATACTTATCTACAATTATGCTTCCACTGCTATGGTTTTATTCGGAAATTTAAGAGCATTATTCCAAGGGATAGGTGATGTGAAGCATTGAGTTTTTAACTCCTGAATCGGTTCTGAATTTTCAGTATAAGCTTCTAATACCTCATCAATAGAAATTCCCGGCTCTTTTAAATTATCGCAACACAAATAATATATCTTTTTACTTCGATTATCAAACCACCAATTACCTTGTAAACTCATATGATTTTCTCTACATATTGGACAATGTGAACCGAAAATCCAATAGGAATCACTCTGGTGCTCGCCTTCCTTATCTATACTATAATCTTTGTCCAATTTTGGAGAATCAGAGAAACGCATGGTTAATTTGTTAATAACTTGATTACGCTCCTCTTTTGATAGCATCTTCTTGAATGGAAAGAGCTTTGGAAGGGTATTAGATGGTGGTATACTTAACTCGGTTCCTGATATTTTTTTTGACTCAGCTGAAATACTTACTTCAGATTTTGAATTAGTAAATTTTTTAGGAAAATGATTTATAATATTTTGAATTTGTGCATCTGTTAGTCTAGAAATGGCATCAGCACTATACGTAATGTGTTCAATTTTATCTATTCCTATCCCTTTAAATAATGTATAGATGTTTTTAGCTTTTTGGGTCATCTTACGCAAATATTCTCTCTTAACACCAGGAAGGTATGGTTCCATTTCATCATAAAACTGTGTTCTTGCCTTTTGATCATTAATATTTTTTTTGAACTAATGTCTATGACCTTTTTTTTGAATTCCTCACTATAAGAACATCAACATAAAATTTCTTTCTGACTGGTTTTTTTAACCTTTTCAAATAAATGAGCTAAATGTAGTGCAGAACCTGGAGTCAGATAATCCCCATCTAGCATATTTTCAGTAATTCGTTTATCAGATATAGGATTAGAAAGGCTTTTCTTGTTGATAAATGCAGATAATTCACACATTAAACCTTGTTCTACTTTTTGATTATAGGGAATTTTTATTTCGGAAGAAATGGTACCTTGTGCCTAATTAATAATAGGCACTTCTGAAATATCCTGATTGATAGGCATTTGCTCTGATTCTATAGAAGGAGTATCCTGAGAAGTTAGGAGTACCTCTTGAGTTCAAGAAGTGGAATCTTCATTACTTTGTAATAGTTTCTTTTCCCTGTTTCTATCTCTCATTATATCACTAAGCTTTTCCTTTGCTTTTTGATCCAGAAAATCATTGATATCCTTATCTTCTAACGATTTAGTCTCTGTGTGGATAGATGATGTAGAACATTGTGCTATCAACTTCTGACATACATCAGAATTAGACACATTATCAGATGTATTTTCCATCTGTTCTGGAGTATTGTCAGAAGAAACAGTGTTCTGTGTTTGCTCTAAAGGCTTGGAATCAATATCATCAGTTGAAGATTGTTTGTTATGCAAAATCCTCTCATTAGAGAGATCTTCATTAGGTGATGAATTAGGCGAGATATTTTCAGTTGTGCTGGCTCCACCAATAGAAGATGTGTCTTGCACATTAGTAATGACTTGAGTTTGCTGATTGAGCTCCTCAAAATCGTGCCTTAGTTTAGCTAATTCAGCTTTTAGCTCAACATTTTCAGCTTCGCAACTGGCACTCTCCTCCGTAGCATGTTCTGCAATTCTAACCTCGAGCTCCAATTCTTTGATTCTAGCCACAAGTCTGGCATTCTCCTGTTTCAATAAATCTAGTTCGGATTTGGTGTTTCCCATTGTTTTATATAAGATGCAGATATGTTCAAAAGTTTGTTTATATGAATACCACAACAAAATGTCTCAATTGGGATTATGACATTTCATAAATGCAAATGAGTGAGATTCATGATCAGGCTTTTTTCCCTGAGCCAGATACCCACTATTATAATATTATAATTACCAGATTAAATGTCATGCATAAAAAAAACCATGACAAAATGTTACGATTGTAAAAATTATTGATATGTATTCAGGAGTATACATGCCATATATATTTTTGTATAATTACAAATAGCACAAATGTACTGGAGGAAATATTCACGTCTTACAAACCAATATAACCCACAAAATGGCTGCCACAAGTGAAAAATAAATAGATACTTTATTTATTGAATTTATTACACTGAAAAAAGCATCCGTAAATGTACATTTCTCCCAGAAGTAATAAGTCTAGACATCAGGATCTTAAAAATTAAATTTACATTGCGTCGATTTGCATTTATCAGCCATATTCTATTGTACTACTTTTAAATTGAGTTGTACATATGTAAACTTGATAAGTCGGTCATGTGGGGATGAGCTCATATGGCCAACTTATCGAGTTATCAAGTGACAAACTTATCAAGTTTACATATGTACAACTTTAAATATCAATTAACATCACATTGTTAAATGATTAGTTTTACAACGCAAATTATCCCTTAAAGCAGTGTTGTGCAATTGGAACATTGTAACACTATTGGAATGTTCCAATGTAGACCTTCAATTGATATTGACCAATAAAAATTGTGTGGGTGTCACTGTAATTGAATTTCATTGGTTAACTCCATTGGAACCACATTTGGAACATTCCAATTCCAATTGGAATTTGTTTAAATGTTCCAATAAAATTTTATTGGAACCATAAATGGCACAACACTGAGTAAATGTTTCACAAAGAAAAAAATCTTTGGCTTTTAAAAATAAATCATGTTTTTGAAAATTGTCACAGGGCATTTTCGCACCCATTCTAAAGTCACACACATCTTTCTAAAATAAATTCAAGAGCTGTTACAATAATTTTTATAACATCATTTTAAATACAATATAAAAAATCATACATGAGGATTTTGTTTGACAAATAATAAATGATAAACAAAATTCTTTTATTTCCTTCACAAATTGCTAAATGAACGTCCATTCAAATTGTATTTTATTACACATACTTCAAAATAATGGGTTTATTTTATATGTTTTTTACGAAGTATTTTAAAAAATCAAGTGTGAGAATAAGTTTTTACTTTATAATTTGAAATTTTTGTGCATTAGTTGTCCAGTAAGAAATCTTGTGATTTTTTATATATTCACTCATAATATACCATTATAATTAAATCATTATCTTTTGTATCATTATCTTTGTATCATTATCTGTGTGGGTCATTTATTTCCTATTAAATGAGCAATAATTCTAAATCTATTATAAGGTTTAAATATTTAATAATAAAGTAACCACCTGCGAGATGGAATATTTCTATTGTTATTGTAATGAATGGAAGATATCCACATTACAAAATGACATATCTAGGCTTGAACATACTAATGATCTTCTTGATCTTGTTTCACCAAAGCCTTTTAACCAATGAAAGTGTATTCAAGAAAGATATATATTAAAATCAATTATCAAAAAAAATCAAAATGGGAAAATATCTTAGTTTTATTATTGTTTTCAATTGTTTCTTAAAAAATTTTAAATTCAAAGGTTCAAACCATATTATCAAAAACAAAAAAATTTTTTTTTCCTGACAATCATAACTTTAATTACGCAGTAATTTATTAATTACACCATCATGACTTTAATGATCACAAGTATAGAGAGAAATAATAACAAGGTGATTGTAAAACAAAATTCATTGTCAAACAAAAACAAAAAAACGATAAAAAAATAATGTTTTGATTGAGTATGTGAATGAATGCGATATTATCATCTTATATATTTATCTTGCCATTGCCGTTTACATACAAGTTGGTTTATTTTTATCTACAATTTTTATTTATTTATTTGTCTTGATAGGTAAAATTAGTCCCTCCACTTGTTTATGATGTAAATGAAAAAAAGAAAAAAAATAAAGTAGGACATCATCATCCCCCATTTGTCCATTTATATGTGCAATTAGGCAATTGACTGGTGTATATGGTATATTCAAATATGCATATTTAATTAAAAATGATCAATCTATTACAAGTGATTTTATTTACAGTATTAAGGAAGTTTTGCAATTATATATATTAAGAAAAAATAATAAGACAGCGATCGACATTTTTTATACCAAAAGACTCAGTTTATTTTAATTAAAATGTTTTTTAAAGAATATAAAAATGGATAAAATAATTGCATGAGATAAAAATTTTTCATTTAAAAATAAATTGTTTTATGTGCATATGTGGATCAGATTGAATAGAAAATCTTACTGACAAACGGTTTCTGGTATTGATTTGGGAGTTAATTGTTATTTCCTTTTTTTTATTCAAGAGAATTGTTTTGAAAGTAGGTCACTTACAGGGCTGGCTGCGTAACCTCAAGGTTTAGTCAACATGACTTGACTAAAAGCGTTAAGTCAAGTTTAGTTTTTTTCATGCAATTTGACGTAATGACTTAACTTTAGTCACTGACTTAACTTTAGCCACTTGACTTAACTTTAGTCACTTGACTTAACTTTAGTCACTTGACTTAACTTTAGTCACTTGACTTAAATTTAGCCATTGACTTAACTTTAGTCACTTGACTTAAGTCTGGCATAAAGGGGTTAAAATCCTAATTAGTAATGATTGACTTGACTTAATAATAATTATTATATAAATATTAATGACTAAATAGTTTAGTCAGTTTAGCCAAATGCTCACGCTCATTTAAACTCTTTACTTCTCCATACTTCTCAATGTTATATTTACATCATTATATATTCCATTGAATATATAACAACAACTTTTATTTTTTTACAAATTAATAAAATTAATAAAAACTATAACATTTACATTCACATATATATATTAATATATATATATATATATATATATATCGAATATCATTATCATTACCATCTCAAAATCATCATAGTGGATTTTTTTACATCATTGTTATCAGTAGCAACAGTAGTATTAGTATTAGTAGTAGCAGCAGCAATAAAAAAATTCTTATTAAAAAACTATGGCATTTTATAATGTGTAGGTATTATAATAAATAAATAATAAACTCATATTAACTAATATTAATATAAATATAAATAAACTTATTTACATAAGTTTTCATTGTTTTAGAGATGATGATATAGGTGTAAATATTGAACATCCTATTAATTTAGTTGAAGATACTACTACTACTACTACAAATATAATTAGAGGTGGACGACCTTCTTCAGATGTATGGCAATATTTTGAAAAAAATACATCTAAATCAAAAGGTCACTATACTGCAAAATGTAGATATTGCTTGAAATTTTGGAGAAGAGGAATTCCAGATAAATTAGAAGCACATCTTGCACTTAAATGTGAAAAAGTTGATAGAGAAATTTCTCAAATATATTTAAAAAAACTTGCAACTAAAAATTCAGTATCAGATGTTGAGTCTGAAGATAAAATGTCAATAAGTACAGCAACAAATTCAAGGAATTCCTCTAGCTCTAAAAAAAAAAGGAAAACCAATAATAATTTACATTCATATTATGAAAATACTAATTGCAATATTGAACAAAAACAAAAATTAGATCAGGCCTTGTTACGTGCATTTGTTGTATGTGGGATACCTTGGAATGTTGTATCTAACCCATTTTTTATGGATTTTATGAAGTTGGCTAAACCTGGATATGATCCAGCTACACGTAAAGAATTATCAGGTCAACTTCTTAATCAAGAAATTGCTAGAATTACTATTAAACTTAATAAACTTGTAAAAAGTGAAAGAAATATGACGTTGGGTAACGAAAATATATAATTTTTTATTAATTTATTTGTAAATTTCAAAATTTTTCTGTTAATATTATTTATTAATAATAGCCCTTGATGGTTGGACAACCCCGTCTGGTGGAGTATTGTATAGTTTTGTAATCCTCACACAAAGCAAAGAAGAATATTTATTCAAATTAAAAAATTATAGTATAGTGTCACAAACAGCTGATTTTTTGACTTCTGAAATCAAATCAATTTTAGAAGAAATTGGTCCTAACAATTTCTGTGGTTTGGTGACTGATCATGCATCCAACATCAGAGGTGCAAGAAAAAATATCTGCAATGCATTTCCACATATTTTCAACATTAGGTGCATTGCACATACAATTAACTTGATTGCTACTGATATGGCGAAAAATGAATTTGTGGCTGAAATAATTTCAAAAGTTGGAAAATTGGTGAGTTTTTTTAAAAAATCCCACATTGGAAATGCATTGCTCCATGAAGGTCTGAAATCAATGAATATATCTGGTGGCTTTCTTGTGTCATATTCCAAGATACGCTGGGGGTCATTGTTTGATACAACAAATTCTGTCTTAATATCCCAACCAGTTTTTGCAAAGGTATTTTATCTTATTTTATCTTATCTTATTTTATTTACTTAATTTATAAACAATAACTCATAATTATTATTAAAAAAAGATTCTTGAGGAAAATAGGAGTGTGGTTACAAATAGAGATGTTGCAGCATTAATGTCTAATCAAGGATTTTTTTATGATGTACGAATTATTTCACAAATTTTTAAACCAATCAAACAAATCATTCATTGCCTTGAACGAAGAAGTGCCAATCTTTCAGATTGTTTTTTAGGATTTGTGTATCTTGCTTTGGCAATTAAACAATTACCAAACAATATGAATTTACAATCAGAAATTATTAAAATTTTCAACTCCAGATTTAACTCTTTTGAAATTGACCTTTATCTGCTTGCTTACTTTTTGCATCCAAAACATAAAGGTAATATTATCTATAAAATATATTATATTTATAATGATTTAAATAATGATAATTAATCACCCTATATATTTATAGGGTATGCCATGAAACAAGGAAATTTTCGTCGAATATGTGATATTGCTGTTTCATATGTTTCAAGGTTAGGTTTCACAGATATAGCTGTTAGCCAACTCATCATGCAAATGCGTTCATTTAAGGATGGTTTATACCCTTATGATTTTATATTTAATGTTAACGATCCTATTACATGGTGGACAACAATTGAAGATAATCACAATTATTTGCAACAACTTGCAATTAAATTGTTTTCAATAGTACCTTCTCAGGCAAGTTGTGAGAGAACATTCTCAATACTTAAATGGATCCATGGGTTGAATAGAAACTCTTTGTCAAGTGACAACTTGGAATCCATGGCAATAATCCGATCATATCTTATCTCAGATATTGAGAAAACCATGTTTTATGTACCAAAAAAAAATAATGATATTGATTTTTCTAGTGTGGCTAACTCAGAAACAGTCATCGATGGATTGGATCTCGAAGAAGAGGAATCATTTACATCACTTGAATTAGAAGAGGATCTATCTGATGTTTCTGATAACAACATTGATAATAATAATTTATCAATTGAATCAATAATTGATTTATCAGTATTAATTTCAGGCAGTGATATTTCAGCCCAAGATATAACTAGTGATATAACTAGTCCATTTGCAGAAGGTATAACTGATTATAATCCTCATGAATTAGTTGCTAATTTGGTGACAGAGGATGAATAAATTTAAATCCGACTTAATATTGACAAGTTGTTGTTTTTAATTTTTTTAATTGTAATATAATGGTATAGTCTTTTTTAATATTATTAATTGGAGTTATATTTTGTTTTGTAATACAAATTTTCAATTTATAATAAAAACACATTTATTATCATTATTATCATTACATTATAATTAAAAATGTAACGGGATAAATAATCAAGACAATCATTACTATATTAGGGTTTTACACTTTCGTCAACTGACGAAACTTTAGTCACTAGTTTCGGTTTCGCCAAACGTGACTAAACCGAAATTAAATTGACTAAAGTTTCGTCAAATTGAGTTAGAGTTACGCAGCCAGCCCTGGTATGTATTATGATCATGTGTCACACGCATTGGAATTCTAAAAATAATTTTCATTACATAGCCACAATATATTCGTACAACATATTGATTATCTGATTGATTATGCAGAGGGATTATCAAGACACATAAGTGTCATGACCCTTTAGGGTCGCCCCTTCGGGCCTGCTTTGCAATAAATTTAATTCCTTCTTTAAATCAATTCACGCTGAAATATATATACGACATAAATAATAGTGATTCTTCTTTTATGGTGATGCGAATACAATTAAAAGGGTGGACATATACTAGCAATTACGTTTAATCAAGAAGGAATATAATAGCAGAGCTAGTGACAAAGACACATTTTTTTATTATTTTTCTAAATCGTCGCTAACATTATTTCTTGGAGTATTAATCCGCAACACTCATACTATCACTATTCCCTGTAGCGTTAATTTCATTGTCTGGATTATTTTCATTTACCTGCTGAGCATTTGTAGCATCCGCATAAGATGGAGGTTGAAGATCGGGTGCATTTGTATTAGATGTATTACGCTGTGGTGGAGATGCCGATCGTCTTCGTCTTCAACTTCTATTATCGGTAGACGTTCTTCGACTTCGACTTCTATTATCGGTAGATGTTCTTCGGTTTCTATTATTAGGAGATGTTTGATTCGAAATATTTCTGCTACGGATTCTATCGAACTCATCGTCAACTCTTTCCCAGAAATGCGTTTGAAATTCATTATAATATAGTGTACCATTCCGGGTTCTTCGTCCTTTTTCAGCACCATCCAGAAAATCACACATTAGCTGATCACATAGAGGTATATGGTAGGTAAGTGACATTGCAGGCCCGAAGGGGCGACCCTAAAGGGTCATAAATTTCATGATCAGAAAATTTTAGCCGGGTTTAGCCAAAAAATATGCAATAACTTACATTATAATCACGAATGAGGTTTGTGAATTTCTTTTTACACTGGTAACCATCAAAGTGGGTATTATGTTCTTCATTTATTTTAATCGCGATGCTTTCCCAAAAGGGAAGACGATCTCTTCCAAGGTTATGATACTCCACGTTTCTATTTTTACGTTCATTGATTAGGATACGAGTTTGAGCATCAGTCCAATCAATCATTTTTTATAATATCTTCCAGAGAACGTACACGAAGTATATTGGATAATGTGGATAGAAACGATTTTACACTATATATATATATTATACGCTTAGATTCATAAGGTTAGAATTTTCGATTCATATGAATTAAACTTTGCTTATGATACAAGGTTAGATCCGTAATTAAAATTTGAGAAAAAAAAAATACACATTCATATATTTTAATACTCCAACTATACTTTAAGTGAACATTAAGTATACTTCAACTGCGGATTTACTATGAAATATTATAATAAATTATTTTTCAACCAAACTCCTATTGAACTTCAAGTGGATACTTAACTGAACTTCAACTATACTCCACCTGATAACATTTAGACGAGTTTACAATTCCAGTATTTTGGATGTATGAAATTAATTTATGTGTCGGAGACACTAGCTCCGCTATTATCTATGGGCAATCTCGGAATATGAATCATAGTAATATATAAGGTACATTCCACAATATATTACTCAAAGTTTGTAGCACAAAGTACTAAAAATTTATGTGTCAGAGACACTAGCTCCGCTATTACTTTTTCAAACGAAGGGTCATTCTTTTCCCGATGATTGATTTTATGCATAGTAATAAGGGGTGTTTTCATTTGGGATCGTCATTACGAGATATGCAAATCAGGAGTTATCATAAGAGACTAAGCTAATTCATCACTGTTTTGTGAAATTAATGCCAACCTTTGCTTTTCAGCTGAAATCATCTACGATTACTTGTAAATTCCGAGCCGAAGTAATTAATTTATGAATGAACCGATCGCTAAATCCGAAATTAGTTTTATTAGTTGGGAGAAGTGTAGTATATAAAAATGAGTTAAGTATACGGAAATTTTGTTATATAAACTTTATTTGGTTTTATGTCTCTATCTAACCTTCGATCCTTTGCATATAACATTCTAAAAAAACTTGGTGATGTAGTCGTCAAAGATAGACATTTTGTTGAAATAGGGTCATGTGGAGAATGTGGAAATGAAATCCTTGGACTTGTTTATGAGCCATTCACAATCCTCGCCTGTGGACATATCTACCATAGAAAATGTATCGAGAAAAATTTTCTATCGAACATATGTCCCACTTCTGATTGCAATAAATCTGTCGATCCTGTGGCCACCGAACGAAGATTTTCTCAATCGTCTCAGTCAAGCACTTCATCAATAGTTAGGAGAATGAGTAATCAACTTCAGCTCAATTCACCTGTAATCGGAGAAGAAGATGAGGAAATGAGGGATGTCGAGGTTAAAGGTGAGCCCAGGAATTGTTCCAAGTGTTCTGAAGTAATCTCCCTGGAAATTTTGGAGCCGGTCATATTATTGCCATGTAACCATGTTGTGCATTTCGAATGTATTGACAATAAGCGTAAGCTATGTCCCGAATGCCCATCTATTGACGATCTGGAAAAAGAAGGATATTATATCTTGCCTACTGTTTTAGTCGACGAAACACCCAAGAAAAAAAGGAAGATGCAAGAAGGGATACTCGTAAAAGTAGACCTAAAAGGGCCACAAAACCAAAAGCAATCATTCAAGAGTTATCCGTTGTCTCAACCAGCAGTGGACCATCAATCAGCGCTCCTTCTGAAACCACCAATATTGGTGAAATATCTAATCAATTCCATAAATTATACTACGACGTTGATATTGCTGAAAAGAAAGGTGATCAAGAGAACCGGGATGTAATTCAATGCTACTTCCGGTTTGGGAGAGCTCTATCAGAACGACTTGCTGTATTGTTAATGAATAACCCCCCACAGACAGCGCGTACAAAGTTAAATAAAGAAGTTAAGGAAAAGCTTCCGAAAAAAAACAGAACAGATACGGCTAGAAAAATTTATGACGTATTTAATAAGATCGGAGAAGATATTATAAAAAATTTCCCTTTGAATGTGTAATTCTCCGATAGTTTAACGTTACCAAACCAATAAATTGATCTACTGCGCTACATCACGTGATATGTCGTGTGATACTGTTCCGGCTCGGAACACCCTTATTATTATATGTGACACAGTTATTGGTTTTCTTGGCATTTTTCCAAAAGTAGGTTTGAAAACTAGCGCTAGTACTACAGTTCACCACTTTTTGTATTAACAGTTTCTATTCCCAGTTTATACGCGTGGTCCTGGCTAGACAACTTAAATCAAGAAAAATGGACGAGAAAGCTGATAAGAGAGTTCATAGAACCTTTCAGGTATTTTTAATCTTGCACTATTTCGAAATGGTAGGTATAGCTAGTGAAACATTTTTATGTAGGAATCCAAGACAGGGGAACCCAATATATGTTCCGTTTGGTGTCGAGGGGAAGATGGTAAAACCACCACATTGTCGACCAATTCCAATAATAACCATATGGGACGCGGTAGCCCTTCTTTGGACAATCTACATCATGAAAATGAAGGATTTCGAGGAAATGGAACTTCAAAACCAGAAAAAATATCTTTCCAGAATGCTAATTATCTTGGCCGACAAAATCACAATGATGAATACGGAAAGGTTGCATTGCCCAACAGCAGTAAATATAACGATTTCAGCGGAAAAGGTGAAGATTGTAAAATTTATGTTCGGGGCGTCAGTCCGCACGTCACAAAAGATCAACAAATCAGTAGCACTGTCGAGGGTAGAATCTATACCAATCCTACAATTGCGCCATTCGAATGTTGTCCAAACATGCAGACGATCCAATCTTCGCTATTTTCCTTTGGGCAACTGCGCCGAATTGGTACCTTGGCGGGCCATGCATGGACGAAAGAAGAACCGAAAACACCGTGTCGTTTTGTGGTCCCAAACATTCAATCTATTGAAGAAAGAATTTCGGAAACCATGTCTCCAGTGCCGAAGGGTGAAGAGCAGGATGAACCTCGAGAAGGTCGCAATAATCCGAAGTCTCCACTTATGATAGTCGAAATGATCGCAAATAAATCAGATCGTAAACGCGTTGCAAATTCTCTTAACTGTAAACTCGAACCCGGAGATTTTTCTGGTTGTATTTGTTATATGGAACAAGTTAAAGAGTATTATGGTTTTGATCATATAATCATCATCGGAGAACTTCATGCTGGAATTCTTTTTTTGGACTGTTACGGTCGTGTGTTCATATGGGACTCAATGTGTTATATTTTATGGATGCTTGGGGATTATTGGAACGAGGCAACAAAGACTAGCCAACCAAAGTGGGGTTTAGAGGTTGATTGGACTGTTGTCAGATTTGAAGAATTTATGAATGGTATGTGGAGATTTTGTTCATTCCTTTTTTTATCTTAATTCTTATAATTAGTTTCTTTCTCCTAGATTCACCAAATGAACTAACCTTTAACAATCCTATTCATCCTGTTGCAAAGAAGAAAAAGAATTTGAAAAAAAAGAACTCGAAAAAGAAACAATATTGATCTGATTTCTATGTTGTATTATTCTCAATTTCGATTTATGTTTGCTATTAATATTACTCGCGTAAACAAATAATTAGTGGTCACAAATATACATAGCATAAGACTTTACTATATTTTCTGTAATTTGCAGGCATAAATAATAAAGCAGATGGTTAGATAGCAAAGAAAATACTAGCATTGATGAAAAGATCGCCACATCTCAAGCAAGTATACCATCCCCATTCCAGATAAATGCATCTAACAAAATCCGACCTCCAGTCTCTATTTTACCCAATGATCCAGAAGAGAAGCAAAAATCCATTATTAACAAAGTGCTAGAGCAGTTTCCTTATTTATCTTTTAATTACAGTAATAAGTGTGGCAATTACTTTACTTGTTCAAAGATATGTAATAAAGATCACAAGAAAGAAGATGTAAAAGGCGAATGGGGTAGTGGCGATTATGTCAATACAAATACTTATCGTATCAATGGTTATAAGAATTATCAAAATTCAATCCAAATAGTAACAGTGAAAGCATAGACTACTGATTTCGAATATTTATGTCATTGACCAACTTAACTCGATATTCATTATATAATTTGATAGTATAACTTTTTCTGATAATCATTACGCGTTATTTATCGGACACATGACACCAGAAGATTAAATCACAAGGTTTGTAGTGCACCCAAAATAGATCTCTCATACCGAAATAGATCTTACATACCAAAAATAGATCCCACATGTCCGAAATAGATTTCAATGAGTAATTAGATAATATATATACGAGTGATTTATACATAAATATCGCCACAAATAGATTCTTTAGAATCAACTCTAATCGCTACAACCCAATATGGATCTCTCCCATTCATCGTATACATCACTTGCAAAATATGACGATTATAGCACTATTGAAGAGATGGTTGGAGAATCCAATCTGGACTAAAATTGAATCGTATTATTCTAGAGTATAAAGTTATTAAATCTAATAGGTCTAAATCCTTAAATTCGACATAATCACATAATCTCGAAAAACACTATAAATAGTTTGTATAAAATGACTAGCTTAAGTGAAAGACGTGGAACCAATTGTACCGATGCTGAATGGGATGAAATTCTGGAGATGGGTATTGTTTTATCGAATGAGACTCCTACCGAATGGATGAATCGAATTTGGCCTCGCTTACAATATTTCAGAGAAAATAATCTTATACCTTATAATAGAAAATACTTTGAAGCAAGAAAATTAATAACATATCAGTCTGAGGTTAATGGATTTTATAAAAGCTATGCACCTGAAATTGGGCTTGCTATCTGTTTCTCTTGTAATCAACTTATATATATTGGAGAACGAACCAAAAATACAGGCAATTACAACCATATAGGAATGGAGAGACATTGGGCTTCTCGTTGTACTGGAAATTCCTTTTGTGGTGTAAATTATGATGAATATTTACTGAAAATCGAACAAAAATCTATTTCGGGATATATTTATGATAATGAGTATGCATTACACCGTTATGAATTGTGGATGCAAAACGCCGTTAGAAGAATTAAGCGTGCAAGAGAAATCGGTAGAAAAATTCGAGCATGTAGAATTATACAGAGAAAATGGTTAGAAATTTTCTTCAGACCTGAAGGTATGTGTGCTACCGAATTAGCATTACATTATCAGTTATTATGGGCGGTTCGTGAAGAAATGCGACAAATTAACAATGTATAGCTTAATTTATTATAACATATCATTTATTCGATTTAATCTATTTATTAATGTATAACTTATTCATATATATTTTAAAATAAAATCACCTAAGGTATTCCTTGAGGGCTAGTACTTTAGACTTTATTTCGATACCCCTTGAGGGCTGGTATCTTTTTTTTGTAAGATTCCCATGTAAACCGAAAATAGTTACTTTATTAGATTTTGCAACATCTAGGTTTCATGTCATCAAACTAATTTGGCTAAGTTCATAGAACATCTACATCGTGTAAATATGGTCAGTTGATGTCTTGTGCGACTATATGCAGGGATCTCTAAAATTGGATTGACCGCACATGGTTTAGATTCTTAAAATCATGCATATTAATATATATATATTTTGATTTTTTCCCATATATTATTGCGAAGCAATGACCCAAAGGGTCTACTATTAGTGTCAAAAATATTTATGAATCTCTTCAGATTTTCGCAAAGATATTAACCTTGCTAGCTCTGCTAATGTATACTCGAAAAAGGTAGATCGCGAAAGATCAAAGACCATGAATCAAATGAATATTACTTTTTTCCAATTAATCCTAAAATTCGAATTAGCAGTGATTAGAAATGATTTACTATAATTACTATTATGATTTACTATATTTTACTATTATGATTTACTATATTTTAGCACGACTCTAGCACGACTCTAGCGTGACTCAAGCATGAGTGTATCATTTTTCATATAACTATATAGAAAAAATTCTAGCGCGACTCTAGCTCAACTCTAGCACGACTCAACCACATTTAAATCTATATATTTTTGCATACAAACTCGTTCCATACAACACAAAAACCCCCAGTGTAGATAATGTATCGATACCTAATATATTTTTACACATCCACTCTAACTTCAAATACGGCAGGATCGGTCAGCTCAATAATATGAGTGGCAGATAGAATGTGGAATACACGGAGTACGTTTTATCTGAAATATATATCTACCTCAATTTCAACACCGGCTGGATACGTGCATCTCTACAGAGTGGCGAGTATGATATATACTATATACTATGTTCTATATATAAAAAAATAGCGAAGAAATATTATTATTTGATTGAACTTAGACATCTTTTTTATATGAAATCGAAGAAAAAAGTCTCTATTACAGGAAATGGAAGATAAGTTATTACGCATTTGATGACTTGATCTCTTTTTCCAGATCTAGAGGATTCATATATAGACGATCAAACAAGGCATGTAACATGCCCGCAGTTAAAAGGAATCAACGTAAGAAGGAACAAATATATTTTATGACCAGTTTTATTGATAAAAACGTGCAAATAACAGTTGTGAAATTTATTTACATTTGTGTCCGAGAGGGAATAGAAAACTGGTTTACAATAGTATCTATTTGTGATACAGACAGTTCCGAAATTGAGTTCGCGCTATAAGATATCAACTTAATTTTATCAACGCCTACACCTTTGAATAACTTGTAAACAATCCGAGCTTTTTGGGTTTTTTGGCGTAGATTAGCGAGTGTGATATCGGGAAGATGTTCCAAAACTTCTTTATAGACGCGGGATCTTACCGTTTTTTCAGTAATTCTGTTGGAGGATAGTATTTCATTAACTCTGTTTTCGTGCTTTTCCCCATAACGATACCAGCATAAAATCTCCTTCTGGGTCGCATTAGAAGCATGCATCTCCGCACGACATGCTTTTCGATATAACCGGGCCATTAATACTCCAGCCGATTCTGTAGCTTCGGTTTGGTCATGTTCTTCTTCATTAACATCGTTCATTACACCTTCAACCGGCATACCCAATTCCTGAATTATATTATCCACTCTTCTCTGAGCACGGGTAATTCTTGAAGCTGAACGTGTTTGCGATAGAGATTTAGTCCGGGTGGGCAATTGATATACCTTTTCCACGAAGCGAGGGATCTTCTTCCGACGTTTCTTCGGATGTACCATCTGATGTTTCTTCTACAGTAGAGCTGATTTGTAGGTCGGTTTCTAATATATTAGCTACCTCTGAACTTTGACTTGGTTCGATGTAACATAGCGGACAGCGAGATTCGTGCTCGATGATGCAATCTTGGTGGAAAAAATGTTTACAAGTTAGTATCGTGATTGGCTGTGTGAGTTGTGGGAAGATTTCATTTTGGCATATAAAACAAATATCGCGTTCTTGAAAATTGATATGAGATGGGGTTTGAGAGGAAGGTGTTTTGTGGTAAATAATTTTATAGGCGAATTTTTTTAAAGTTTCCATTTTTATGAAATCTGCTCACTCATGCCTTACATTGCTTGTTTTTATAGATTAAATCCTTTACCGCAGTATGAGTAAAAGGTAATTTAGACTATCTACAAATCAATGATATAGTGTCTGAAATTATCAGTATAACCGGTAATTACCAATTGTTTGCAATGCGTTCATCGTTATGGAGGTCAATAACGATAGTCTCACACATCGTTTACGAAATGATTTAATTTAATGTGGGTAATTTAATGATTTAATTTAATGTCAGTAATTTAATGATTAATTTTTACAGCCGATCATATTAACAATTTAATGATAAATTCCTAATTCTTACAGTCTGTTAGAGAAAGAAATTACGCTCTGAAATCGAAGAAAAAAGTTTCAATTACAGGAAACGGAAGATAAGTCCCACTAAAAAATCTCGATCATAATTTATTTTCTTTATTACGCTGTTAATGATTTGATCTCTTTTTCCAGGTTTAGAGGATTCATCCAACCGACTCTGATGGACATAGGATCGGAAATTGGTACAGTAGTATCGAAGACAATGAATTCACCATTCCGCAAATAATTGTTAATGACTCTGGAAGCTTTACGTGGATCTTCTTCTATATATTGACGAATGACTCGTTGAATGTCATCTTTTGATCCCCCGCCATTGAATAATACAAGATGGGTTGAATTTTCACGAATAATTTTTGGTACTTGAGTGAATTTATGCGAAATATAAATTGCGGAAATATTACTATGACGCCCTC